CATTTCAAAAGGAGTACAAAAATGACTTGAAATATGGGATTCTTCAAATATTCCAAAAGGATATGGAATTCTTCAAACATTTCAAAAGGAATACAAAAATCCCTTAGTAAACTTTGGGCAAATGTATTTAAAACTGTAACACTCTCATATAACACTCAAACGTAAAACACTCTAATGTAACACTCAAAAAAAAAAAAATTCTTAGTGTGCTTTTTCCAACTGTAACAATCCAATACAACACTTCAAAAAAATTTCTTATTGTAACATTCTTATGTAATACATAAAAAAACTCTTTGATGTACTTTTTTCAAATGTAATACTAAAAAAAAAAGATATGAGATTCTTCAAACCATCCCAAAAGGATGTGGGATTCTTCAAACCATTCCAAAAGGATTACAAAAATTCCTTAGTAAGTTTTGAGTAAATGTATAATTTCAAATTATGCGTGTCATGTTTAGAAAAATTATATTAGGGAATTTTTAGTATTTTGTGTGTTATATTAGAGTGTTACGTTTGGTATTACATTGATTTGAGTGTTACGTTTGAAAAAAGTACACTAAGGAGTTTTTTTTGTGTATTACATTTATTGGAATGTTACGTTTGGAAAAATAAATACACTAAAGATTTTTTTTTTTGTGTTACATTGGAGTGTTACGTTTAAAAAAATAATACATAAAAAAACTCTTTGATGTACTTTTTTCAAATGTAATACTAAAAAAAAAAGATATGAGATTCTTCAAACCATCCCAAAAGGATGTGAGATTCTTCAAACCATTCCAAAAGGACTACAAAAATTCCTTAGTAAGTTTTGAGCAAATGTATAATTTCAAATTATGCGTGTCATGTTTAGAAAAATTATATTAAGGAATTTTTTAGTATTTTGTGTGTTATATTAGAGTGTTACGTTTGGTATTACATTGATTTGAGTGTTACGTTTGAAAAAAGTACACTAAGGAGTTTTTTTTGTGTATTACATTTATTGGAATGTTACGTTTGGAAAAATAAATACACTAAAGAGTTTTTTTTTGTGTGTTACATTGGAGTGTTACGTTTAAAAAAAATATACTAATTACGTTGTTACGTTTAGAAAAAAATGCACCAAATAGTTTTTTAGTGTTTTACATTAGATGTTATGTTAGTATTACATTAGAGTGTTACGTTATTAGAGTGTTATATTTTTTTTTCGTAATGTGAGATTTGTTATAGGAGGAAAAATCCAAAACTTCTATAATGCGAATTGCCTAAATGTGTAATTTTACATTTAGAGAAACCAACTTTTATGGGAAATTCTATTTCCACACACTCACCTACCTCTATGCACACAATTAATGATTTATTTTTTTTATTACAATTTTGTCCTAAAATAAAATTACTAAAGTGTCCTTATCTTCCCCACCAAAACCCTAATTTCTTCATCTCCTCTGTGCACACACTTTGATTGTTGTTGAATGGATTCATCATTGTTGACATTGGATCTTCCGTTCCTCCTCCTCCGTCGTCCCCTAGATCATCACCTCCACCACCGCTGACTCTGCCGCTACCATCTCCACCTTCTCTCAATCGCTGGCCACTGCCGAGGACACCCCCTCGACACTAAAATCATTTATGAAATTTACTGAATCGTTTAAACACTGAGGAACCTAGGAAAGAAAGAGATGGAAAAGAATCAAAATCTAGAAAAAGTTGTAGAAAGCAATAAATAAATAAAAAAGTAAATTGAATTGAAGATGGAACAGAGAGAAAGAGAGAGAGAGTTGGAAATCTAACCTTCATTTTCTCTTGAATTTTAGTGATGTGAGCAAAATTTTCTCAGGAAAATTTGCAGATCAAAGCTGAAAGATCAAGAATGAATATACTACAAACCGAGAGAGAGAGAGAGAGGGGTGTAATGGACTTTGTCGATCGCTGTTGTAAATGGGTAATTCTTGATTTGCATTCTTTTTCAGACCAAAGTAGGGGAGGATGGATTGGTTTAGGGTTTCAATGTCAAAGAGAGGGATATTTTTGGCAAAAAAGGTTGTGTATTGAGTAAAATCACAAAATTCAAAATTAGTTAGTATGTGTATTGAGAGAGAATGTGGAATGAGATGTTTTTGTGTGTGGAAATAGAATTACCCAACTTTTATCCTTAAAAAATTAAACACAAACATGTAAATGACTACCATTTTGTGTAATTTTCACTTTAATGAGACTTTTGGGTTCATAAAAAATAAATAAATAAAGGACTAAACCGTTCACAATATCACATTTTGGGATTTATTGGTGTTTCACCCTAAAATAAATAAATAAATCACATATATGAATTTGACAAATACATGTGTAATAAGATTACTAATTATCTTAACATTAATTTTTTTAAGTGCAAATGTTACAAAAATATTTTAGTTTTCTTTAATCAATTTTTTTTGAACTAAATAATATTTTTTGTAATAATTTATTTTTAACATTCTACCTATTTATATTTTTTTTTTCAAAACATTTATAAAAAAAATGAACACGGCAACATGCCATCTATTTGTTTGAGTAAGGGTTTCATTCGGCCGATGCATTGTCATCGCTTCAAATTTTTGTCGTTGTCATCGTCTCACCGATGGCTCGCCAGTGCATTGTTGTTGTTTTAGATCTTCATCGTTGCTGCTGTCTCGCCATTGTTTCCCCGGTGTATTGTCGGCATTAAAGAACTTCGAATATTTGCGATTCTTACTCTTGATTCACACCTTTGATTCACACATTGATATATTTTTCTTATCTGCTTTTGATTTTGTTACCGATTCAATTTCCATAGTAATTTCTATTTTGAGTTTAGCTAAATTCTAGTTGTCTAAACATAATACTAAAAAAAAAATAAATAAATAAAAATTGAACAAATTGAATATGTTCAAAATATTTATATTGAACAAAATAAATAAGTTCATATTTTATGTACTGAACAACTTCAACTCATTTAGACTTAAATTTTATACATTATTTTTTTTATAAAATATTTAATACATTTATTCTTTGTAAAAAAGAAAATAAAATTTCCCATCAACAAATTAAATTATTGAATTGAATTAAATTTGAGAAATAAAATTATTAAGGAATTAAATTAAAAATACAAATAATTTAAATTCCAGATTGAAAAAATAAATGATAAAAAGGGAAAAAAATACACAATTAAATAAAATTATTTCATCTTTTCTTGATAAATTTAAAATTCAAATATAACATAAAATATCAGTTTTTTAAAAAATTAAATGAAGAGCTGCTTTGTTTGTTTGGAAATAATAAATTGAACATTAAATATTTGTTCAATTTTGTACATATGAACATTCAATATTTAGTCAACTTTAATAATTTGAATAAGGTAGTGTTGTTTGAATATAAATAATCGAACATTGTATAACAGTTCAATTCTGATTATCTGTACATGTGACAGACAAAGTTATCTTTCCAATGACTATACGAACGAGATAAACAAAAAATCAAAAAACTAAGTAATAAATTGACTTTTTCATTGTTGCATTGTTTGAAACCAATAATCTGAGTATTATTTATGATATGTAAATTTTCAAAACCAATTGATTTCAATATTCTTAAATCCTAAATTTTCAAAAGTAATAATGTTTTGAGTTTAAAAAATAAATACAATGGAGAAGAAAATGAAGTGAGATAATTGATAATAAATGATATCACGAGTGTAGTGTGTTAGATAATAATAGTGAAAATGATGAGTATTGGAAGATCATGAAGAAATACAGTGTTTGTATGACTATAGCTGATGGTGTACTTTGTATTTTTATGTGGTGTTTGAAAAGAAAGGCGGGCTAAAATAGTTCACTAAAAGATAAAATAAGTTAAAATAGTTAAAGACGAATTATACTAACTGTCCCTATAGCTTAGGACTTGTGTCACGTTGGTCTCTTTCTTTTCAATTGTGGCACATTTAACTCTAAATTTTAAATATTGTTCCAAATAAGGATAATTGAAGATACCATTGCTCAATTTCAAGGACAAAAAGGACAAAGTCGTCAATTTGATAAAATATAAACTAATATAAAAAAATAAATGTCAAAAACATATTTTTGAATTTTTAAAAATTATTTTTACTCACCAAAGATAAAATTATGTAAAATTGATAAATCTTTTACACATTTATTTATTTTTTTTGCCAAATTAATTTTTATTTTGTGTTTGGATGATGATCACATAATGGGTGGTTGCTAGTTTTTTAATGTGTAATCAATATATTTAATATATGAAATGTTTTTAGTTTTGATTTTTTTGATTTAATAGATTGGTTTAATAATGATATCAAAGTTGTCGCCATATTTAACTTTTGAAAAAATAGAAACTAAATTAATGAAAATAAAAACAACCACACATTACATTATCATCATCCAAACATATAATACAAATTAATTTGATAGAAAAATAAATAAATAGATGTATAAAAGATTTATCAATCTTACATAATTTTTTCATTGGTGGGTAGAAATAATCTTAAAATATTTTTTGACATTTATTTTTGTCAAATTAGTTTATATTTTATCAAATTGACGATTTTGCTCTTAAAATTGAGTAATTGTATATTCAATTGTTCTTATTTAAAACAAAAATCAAAATTCATGGTCAAATATGTCATAATTGAAAAGTCAAGTCTAAAGTGAAACAAATCCTAAACTATAGGGACCTTTAGTGTAATTCGCCCAATAGTTAATAAGACAAAATGACACATTTAATTTATAACCATTTCACTTTTTCTATCACAACTATCAAATCAACTTAAAAAAAAAATCAATTAATTTTTCAAATATAATTTTTTTAATTAAATTAAAATAGTTAAAAAATCAAATAGTTAACTTCCCACACAAGGTATATATATAAATTCTTTAAATGAGAAGAATCCATTCCCATATTGTTGTTAATGGTTTTTCTATTTAAAGATATTATTGAAATATAAATTTTATCGGTTACAATATCTAAATAGAATTTCCCAAATCAAAAAAGACGAAAAAGATACCGGGGAGAATAAGGTCAACACGATCAACGGGCCCGGGTGCCCGTCTGCCAAAAAAATCAACAAATCGTACGGTGCTAATTTGGCTACTACTCTACGAATAATTACAGAAGTTCGTCACCAAAATAGCGATAGAAAACAGTGCCCAACCGTATTCGCAACAGAGCGAGCAGAGAGACACAGAGAGAGAGAGAGAAGCCAAAATCTGATCGAGGTTGACAGGTGCATTGGAGTTTGGCTGATCAGTCTCTCAAGTGTAAAAATGGGTCGGAAACCCAAAGCAGCGAAGATTGCCGAAGCAGCCAGTGCGGACATGGTAAAATCTCTAATGCTCTCATTCTCTTCAAGCCAAACGACCCTTTCAGAACCCTTACGATTTGTTTGCTTGTTGATTTCTTCCTAGTTTCTTTACCATTCCCTCTGTTTGTTTCAATACATGTAGATAGATAGGGCTCTGCATGTGTATTTAAGTGTTTTTACTTTTTTTTATTACGCTGGGTTAGAGTAGGGGTGTAGGGTTTTGGGTCAGAGATTGAAGAGGGGTTTTTGGGAGATTTTCACTATTTTTTTACAAAAAATAAAAAAGAAGTTTTTATTTTTTAAAAAAAGATTAAAAAAATTAGGTCTTGTTAACATGTGGGCAAATGATATTTTTTTAAAAGGATTAAAAAAACAAAAAATTTATTTATTACATGTACTTTGATGCAGAATATATAATATTTTAAAGTTTCATATTAACATCAATAAAAATTTCATTTTGACAAAATATTTGTTTATATTCTGTATTTTATATTTTCCAGCCCTCTCTATCTATCCATCTATCTGTCTTGGTGATGTGATTAGTTTGTAAATGCAATTTGAATTTCTGTGTTTTGCCCTGGTTTGAACATTATGAAAAAGAAGAAAACAAAATTCATAAATAAATCTTATTGTAGGTAAACAATGCCATTGAAAATCCGGTAGTCATTTTTATTTTAGGGTAACTTATATTTTGAAATTTCATGAAAATGCAGTAAGTTCTGTAGTTTTGACATAATTATATTGGATTCTCTTAGGTTGTGTTGTGTTTGACTATTCCATTCCAATCCACCTTCATTCTAGTGAAACAAACACTACCTTAGAACGTCTCAATAGGAATAATTGACCTTGTGATCTAGTGATTGATTTTATTCATAAATGTGGCTATCAGTCCAAAATTTCCTAGTTTCTATTTCACTTTTATTTTATTCAACCTTCTTGCATTTTCTTATCTGGAAATTCTTTTTGTATGAGTCATATTGTGGTTGTTTATTTATTTAGTATGGTTTCACCAACTTGTATTATTTTATGTATAGCCCCAAAACTTGAATCCTTTTGTGGAGAAAGTTGCACCTGAGCTTAAAATGCAAACAGAATCTGTTGGCTTATCCTCGAAGAAAAAAACATTTGCAAACAGTAGGCGATCTGAACGTCTTAAGAATGTAGCCCAACCCACTCAAAACCAAGAGATAGAGCCTGTGATCGAGGAGGTAAATCTCTGTGAAAGTGAGAAAGAAGATGAGAAAGAAGAGGAGCATGAGCCACATGTTGAGGAAAATCCACCAGAGTCAATGCCGGCTGAAAGGAGATTGGAAGAGAAAATTGATTACCTTGTTCAAGCTGTAGAAGCATTGCAGTCTAAGGCATTTAATTAATTGGCACTAACCTCATTATCTTTCGCCATTGTTCTTGAGTTTTTGATTAAATTATTTTTCTTCATATATTTATTTATTTTCTTGTATGTGTGTTTTCATCAAAATGTTTAACAGGCACCCAAGAGACACTTCCAAAGTGACAGCTTTTCTGCTGATCTCAACTACAAAAGCTTGTATATTGACTCACAAAAGAAGGTTATATTTCTTTAGTGCCTTGTCGTGCCTTTTTGTTCTTCATAAATCCTGTAATCTTATTTCCTTGTTTCTGAGTTATTGCAGATTGAAGCCTTAAAAAATGAAAATTTTGAGCTCTCTAAGAAGCTGGATTTTGCTCTTGGGAAAATCGAAGCGGTATTGTTTTATTTACCCCCATTACTTAGCTATTTTGTTTTCCAGTGCGGGACAAGCAACATAAGATTAACCAAAAACTTGTTATCTGTGTAATAATGAATATATGTTTTGAAGAATTGATAACTATAAGTTTATAAACTTCCCCAAGAATGATATTCTTTCAATTGTGGAAGATGCAATGGAATGCTTATTCATCTTTATCAAATTGTTAGCATTTTATGAATGGGCTAAAACTCTGATAGACTGGATTTCTGGACAGATTTGTTTGTATAGTCATGACATATCTTAATTGAATCATTCATTTATTGATCCATTTTCGCACACTGTTTTATGATATATTTTAGTACTTAATTTATAGCCTCAAATGGTCATAGTAGGAATTAGTTTCAGGCAAAAATTTCCATATAAAAAAAGGTTCAAAATATTTCTATGAATTGTTTTCTGGAACTTTTCAAGTGGGCAGACCTTATGGCAGTGTAACTGATTTTTGTTTTAGTTTGAACTATATTTTATGATATTTCCTTTTCTCTTCAATTTTGATGCCCTAGTTCTTCTTTCCTGGTGGTTGAAAATTGTCTATGATTCTTCCTTTTTGTGAAAATAAAGAAGGCTTGCCAAAAAATTTGGAAAAAAAGAAGAAGAATGAGGCCAATTTTGGAAGATTAAAATGTTCAAAGAAAAATGTTAAAAAATAGTTAGAGATGGAAAGTTTCATGTATGCGGTGGATCTTTATAGTAAGTTAGATACAAAGTAAGAAGGATGGGGAGAAGAGTATATACAAACTTATTGAGGAGAAGTTACTTTGAGAGGTTATTGAGTAAAAATCTTATAGGGTATGTATTTGTTTATTTTTTAAGAAGGTGGTAACTGTAGTAGAGAGATTAGAGTATATGTGTGTTAGAATACTTATTTTGTTAATATTTACTTAAGTTGAGGGTACGATGGTCATATTGCTATGTTAGGATTTGTATATATATTTGACTGATGTAAAGGTGAGGGACTATGATTTTTCAATATATATAAAATTTCTCTTTCTTCTTATTCTTCTTCTTCTTCTTCTTCCTCTTAAATCCCAATCCTAAATTCCTTCATTTTACATTCTAACTATATATATATATACACTAGAGGGTGTGCACATGCGATACGTGTGCATACACCATAAATATAGAGAGAAAAAACCAATATCAATATTAGAACTTTCCTATTAGTAAATGACGGTGGATTCTTAAGAACAATGGGGAAAATGAAAAGGAAAAGGTGGGTTCTTTCATGGGTGTATTCAAAATTATGGAATTAATGTTGTTAGATTTTAAATGTTTGTTTGGTGCTATTTTTCTTTTTGACTTAAAGTTTCTCATCAAACAAATAGAGTATCAAGATTCTATCAGAGTTCATAAACAAAATTGTTGATCTTCCATAATACGCAAGCAAATATAAATTAAAGATAGCAAACATATCCACAAATAACATCTGTATAGAGAGGGAGAGGGTGAGAGAGTTGAGTGATTCAATATAGAAAGTAATACTCCAAACACAAAAATTTTATCTATAAATAAAATACATATAGAGAGAGAGAGAGAGTTGAATGATGAAATGCCAAAATTATTGGTGTTTAAGATGGTGAGTTGCAGATATCCTCGAATGGATGCAAAGTAGGAGATCAGTTGTAGAAGTCGTGCAATGTGCAAAAACCGTATAGCAGTTGTTGAGGTTCATTGACCTTTGCAATTATGTTTAACCGCTATTTTACATATTTGTTCTTCAAATTAAGGATGTTGAACCTGATTTAACATGTAATTAGCTAATTCTTGGAGGATATGTTAGCGACAAGGTGTTGAATATTGTACCGGTTATACTGGTATATTTTCAGGTTATATAATTATATTTATCAAAAATAAATATATTTATTTATATAATTTAATATAACGTAATTTATAGAATATTGAAAAATACTAAATAATTTTGAACTTAAAAAAAAAAACCATATATACCAAAAACATAAAAAATAAAAATTGATATATACGTGGGGAAAAAAAAAGAAAAAGAAATCATGGCATCTAGACCAAGGGTAGCAATTTATTTCTTATCAGGTAGATTTTGTTGTGTAGACAACTATACCTAGCTTGGAATACTTGGTATGCGCACACACATCTCAAACATCAAAGAATCATAAAGCATGATACTTACACATTCTCTCTCCCCGTCTTCTTTACCTTCATCTTCTTCATCAAAACTATCCACAGCCATTAAAATATCATCTCAAAACTTCTCAGCCACAACTCCGTTGTTCTGCTATTTGATGACACCAGAAAAGGGTGAAAGACGACTAAAACCTTTACAGCCAGGACTTCTGTTTCCTCTGCCATTGTTGTCAGTACTAGTAGTAGAGTAGCAGATCAATCACTTGTTGCAGGAGGTTGTAACAATGGGCATTTTCTACAGAGAAAAGACTACTGGATGAATAGTGGTAAGGCCGAGATGTCCGAAATTTTCCCGGTATTACTGAAACCACCGGATTAGATAGAGATTCTTTTGTAAATAGGCTGGCTCAGCCTTGCTGCATCCTATTTTCTTGCTGGAATGGTATGAACCGGCCAGTACGGAACGAGATTCAAAACCTTGGTAGGGATGGAAAGATTGACTAAACCTTACAAACAAGGGAACACCAATTAGTCTTCATATATGTTATCTAGTATAGATTTTACAATTAGGGTACTTGGATGTTAAAAAAAAAAAAATGCATTAATGAACATTAAAACGAAGAGTACTGTAGAATTAAACAATATCCCTATTGACTTGGAAGTGTTTAGGAGATGTTTATGTATCTTGATTAAGAAAACTATTTAATAAGAATATTGTTTCTAAGAAAATGCTAGATAGAAGTGGGAAGTATTTTAGTACATATGAGTCATGCCATAAAAAATGGGAGATGATGATCAAGCATGGTGGGCTTTAGCAATGTTATGCAGTTTTTAGTCATATCCTTAAAAAGTATCTTGTTAGCTGTCATTATTAAGGTGATAACACTAAAAACTGCATAACATCCAGATGGGCAATACGATAGAACTTATCAGAACATCAAGTGTCTAATTTGGTGCATATCTTCCATGTCGTGTGGAGTCTAATTTTCTACTGAAGTGTAGATGTGATTTTATATGTTCATATCATACGTTTTAACGGAATCATACATGCATTAGATACAGTAAACACATCTTCAGTCCGTCTGCATTACAAAGAGGGGGCGTTTGTTAAGGATCAAATAATGCCAAAAAAGTTAGAATTCCAATACCCATTTCACCTATTCTCACACAATTTTATATGTTTTTAATACACTTCTCACATTTTTTGTGTACTTTTTTATACACATACCAACATTGACCATTGTTAGCATTAATTCCCTTCCAAATATTATATTGTACAGACTAGCCTTATTTGTCTTTCCTTTTATTTTGCTGCAGTATGGGGATTCAAGTCGTGTTTCTTCGGAGGTGCTGGGAAAATTAAACGATATGATCTTGGTCTCAAATCTGGTGATAGCTAATAACGGTGAACCAAACAACACTGCTGATCTCAAAACTTCTGCGGCTAAGAAAAAGAAACGCGCTAAAGAGTGAACTTAAAACTTCTGTTGAACTTAAAAACTAAAATTAGTTGTGAAGGTGTCTTCATTAAAACTTAAAATAGTTTTACTTGCCCGTATGATATCAATTTGTTCTGAGCTTGATTATGAGTTTCTTAAATCTCTTAAATATGGTTTGGTTAGAAGTTAAATATATATAAATATATATTGTTGGAGGTGATCTGCCAAGGAAATTAGAATAAGGCTTTGGATTCTCCAATTTGAACACATTTTAAAAATTGTAAAGTTTTAAGTTAAAAGTTTTAACTATTTATGAGTCAGTTTTTTAAGTTCATATCATTATAATAAATCAAGTTATTCGAATTCAATTCATTATCAGCTCTATTAAAATTTATTTGAGATCAATTCAAAAGATGTTTAGTTAAACTTAAACATAATTTTATTTTATCACAATTTTAATTTTGCTTTCATCCCTAACATTCCAAACTCTGGCAACGCTTCCTGCCACCTCTCGAGCCTTCTGTTCCCTCCCCTCCCTACAACTCTATTCTCACCTCCCTAGGATCTTTCGCTCCCTCCTTCATGGTGCCATCATTAGAAGAGTTGGGTAGCGGCAAGTTAGGGATTACTGATTAATTTTTTGAAAATTTATGCAAAAGATACATTCAAAATGATATGTATAAAAATTCTATATCCAAGTTCTGTCTATATGTCATTACCCTATAATTTTATGTCAAACCTAAACTAGATTTTGTGCATAGTCTCTTTCATAGCAGGCTTAATAAAGTGACATTGTGCTTTTTTTTCCCTTCACCGCGGATAGGGAAGGAATCCAACGTCCAATATTTCCTAAAGGGGTGTCACCACAAATATTTGGCATTAGACAATCCAATCCAATCCAATTCGCATCAATAGTGACCAACAATGTTGATTAAAATTAGAGTTTATTACATTTTATCTCTCTCAATCACTTTATTTTAGAGCTTAAATATACACTCTTAAAGTAAATGAGAAGTAATAAGTACAAAAATTAATTGACAGAAAGGACAATTTGCCTATTCGAAAAATACTAAACTCTAATATAGTATTTGTTTACTAGAATAAAATATAATATAGAATTGTCATTTTTTAGTTTTGACTATTTTCTTAAAATGTAAATAATAATTATATATGTAATATATATTTTTTATTATGTTTTTAGTTAATCAAATATAAGAATGGATAATATAATAAAATGATATTCCATTGAACCAAATTGATAATTGGAAATTAGTCAAGTTTTCCTTGAAGGGTTTTTTTTTTTTTTTTTTTTGGTTTGTTTTTTTCCTACTTTGACGCTTCACATTTCAATTTTTTTCTAATTACCCCTTAAGGCTAATTTTTGTTCAAAATTAAACAAAAAATGTCACGTTAGTTGCCTCATGACATAAAAGTATATTATTATATTCGGATTGAGTTTATGTCAGATGTGTAAATTATGTTGGAAAAAATGATTTTTGCTGACTTTAATTTAATATTAAAGTGTGGTGACTTTAATTAAATATTAAAGTGAGTCCCAACCTTTTATTGTGTTAGGTCCAAGTGAGCAAAAAATTATTGGGTTTTGAATAAGAAATTGCCAAGAAATTACCTCATGATGTTAGATTCATGAATAGGATTTTAAAGAGTATTTAAATCATTTTTCTTGGCTAAAGGGTGTGAATCCTTTGGGCATCCAAACTTTTATATTTTTGGGAAAGGGCTATGGATGCTTGGTGTTTTAATGACCAGCCTTAAAGGCTGGAGGCTCTTCTTCTCTCCCCTTTACATGTATAAATTGAGACCCTCCTATCAAGTTTCAATATAGAAATTTTTTGCTTCCGTTTTACAAGTCAGTTTGCCAGAAAGTTCCTACATTGAGAGAGTGCTGCCACTGTTCTTGTTCGCTAAGCTAGACAGAAAGTACTTCTGTCGTAGCTGGTTTTGACCGTCGTATCCTGGGAGACAGACGCCGGGATTCCTTAAGCACTGGACCCGTGAGGTGGCGAAATCTGTTTTAAGGAAACTGCTTCCGTGCAGGCTTTGGTTTCATCTCTTTATCCTTTTATTGTTTTGTGTATTTCTGTTGAAATTTAATTGTAATTATCAGCATATGTTCTTGGTATATAATTTGATTTCTTCAAAAATCTATTTATTTAATTTCACAATTTGAACAACATAAACATGAAAGTACAATCAGAAAGATAGACAACACCAGATAGTTATGAAGAAAACGACATCATGGCTAAAAACTATCATATTTCAATTAGGTTAGCAATGATGTCGTTTTCTTCATAACTATCTGGTGTTGTCTCGGACATTGACCATTACATTGTCAACTCGTTTGCCAGAGCAGGCAAACATTGTTACTAGATGATGGTCGGTGTCCTTGGCCCTGAGAAAGTAACGACTGAGCCGACCAGAGAATTTGGCTAAAGCGTAGCAGTGCCGAATCGTCGGAATGCCAAGGTTGATCCTGAGGTGCCGGTTCAACTCTATGATTCCCATCACGATTCGAAAGAAATTCACATTGGGTTGTGAGGGAATTAAACCCCAATGTCGGAGGACGGCCCTAAGAAATGGATGTAGGGGAAAGCAAACCCCGCCCTCCGCAATGGATAAGAGAGGAAAGACGATTATATTTCGGTCGTCCCACTCCATATCAGGGGAATTGTCCGTTACTAGAGATAGATGGACATTATCAAGAATGGAGAAATGTCTCCGGAACCCAGAAATTCGATCCTCGGAGAGGAGGTCTTTCAAATGCTTAGCCATTTTAGTGAGGACTCAAGGATATCCTAAATCAAAAAATAAATACAGAAAGTAGGATTACAAAGAGAAGAGAAGAAAACTTACGAAAGGCAAAGGAAACAAGGAGAAGACGGATAAGAGTTGCAGAAAACGCCAGAGAAGAAATACCAATTGGTAGTCCGGAAGGTTCGAAATATTCAAAAAAGCATGTATTCGACGAGACTTAAGCTTCAAATCATAATAAATGCGAGAGAAGCACGAATGAGGCGGGAAAGCGTTATAATGACCAAAAAGCGTATACGCGTCTCGACACGCATCGGGAAGAGGATTAACCGTCGAATTTTAGTCTCCCCAGATTAGAAGCCAACCACGCCGACTAGATGATGTTAGTGGGGTGTTTGGGGGGCAATTGTGGGAGCCGAATATTAAAAAGAATTAGAAGCATATTCCAGTCAGATACTATTCGGCTTTATCCGGCACGTTCATGATGCCGAATAAAATGGATAGATAGGCCGAATAGTTATTGAACTATGGAGCCGAGGGAATAGAAGGATAATGAGTGAAAAGTGGGCCTTGCCCCGAGGCAGAGGGAACGAGTATAAATAGAGGAATAGCAGACTGAGAAAAGTATGTGAAAATTATTGTGCTTAACTTAGAATACAAGCAATCTTGAGTGTGAGACTGACTTACCCATCGGAGTACTAATTCCGGCACCCCCGACCGGAGTGTTCATTCTTTTTCAGGTGACTAGAAGAGGATCAAAAGCGTTCCCCAGGATCTGAAGAGTATCCCCCAAAACCATTTCTCCACAGACAATAACAAAAAAAAGTTTTCAAAACTGGGGGCACGTGACTCCCCTCGACCTGCTGTGCCTCCGCCCCTGTGACTATCAATACGTTCTATCTAAGTTCGGACATAATTTAGTCTTAGGAGTAATTTAGAAAAACCTTAAAATATAAAAAGCTAAAATAATAAATAATAAAAATTTAAAGACCAAAATGAAAAAATAACTAAACCAAAAAAAAAAAAAAAATCTTTTTCTGAATTTTTTTGTCTTTAGTAATTTTTTCTTTTAAAGTTATGTTAATTTTTTTTACTTTTTTAGCCTGCCTGGTTGAGACGAATCTAAAAGTAAATTTTTTTCAAAAAACTTCAGAAAAAAATCAAAAAGACTAAAATAAACCAAAAAAATGCTTTTTTCGGCTTATTTTTGTCTATTTTGAATTTTTTTTAAAAAAAATTATAAGTTTTTGTTTGTCTTATCGAGTTGAATCTAAAAACGTAAAACTTTTTAAATTTTTTTTAAAAAAATTCACTAAAACAAAATTAAAAAAGAAAAAAAAAAAACTAAAAATTACACTTCCCAAAACACCCCTACCCAATAAAAGCCAGGTAACCTTTTTATCTTTGTTCTGTTAAAAACCGCTGGTCCTCAATTCTCATCATCAGATCAAGCAAGCACAGAGTTTAACTGTCAATGGCCACTCTTCTCTCTTCATCCTCTCTACTCTTCTTCACTTCTCCAACCTCCAAGCTTCCTCCACCTTCTCTCTCTCCTACTCCGCCCCTTTCTCTCTCATCATCCTCACCTTCTTCTCCTCTCTCTTTCACTCTCTCCCTTTCTCCTTTCTTTTCATACCCCACAACCTCCAGACGCCATTCTCTATCCTCATTCAAGGCCAAACCCATCACAGCAGAGAAGAAGAAAGTCGCCATAGTCAATACCAACAGTGGTGGCCATGCTGTCATTGGCTTCTACTTTGCAAAAGAGCTTCTGGGTTCTGGCCATGAAGTCACCATAATGACTGTTGGGGAAGAAGTTTCAGACAAGATGAAGAAACCCCCATTCAACAGATTCTCTGTTAATAGTTTTTCATCCCTGCAATTTATATAATTTTTAGATTTTAATGTTTATGTATCTATGGGGTACAATTGATTAATCTGAGATTTTTTTGGTACAATTTCTTGAGAATATTTTTTAGGTATATGGGTTTTCCTGGAAATTGTGAATGCCAGTGAAAAATTCCAAACTTATCCTAAAAATCTGTTTAAACCATTTTTGATAAAAGAAAATCATCTCCAATCCTTACTCTTTTTAAATTTTCATTAAATTTGAGTAAAAATATGATTGTTGGAAATTGGGTGAAAGATTTGGTTCATTCTTGGTGAAAATTTTGTCTCTCTGTTGATTTGATACAAGTCTGATGAAACTATTGGAGCTCACTTTTAGCTCTTTGTTTATCAAAGTTGGGTTTGATGAAAGAATTGGTGAAGGGATTGGAGATCCTGTTGATCTGTGAATTTTGGTACAATTTCTTGAAATTTTTTTATCAGTATATGGTTTTTTTCTTCTCCAGGAAATTGTGAGTGCCGGTGGCAAGACAGTGTGGGGAGACCCGGCAGAAATCGGAAAGGTTTTGGAAGGGGCAACATTTGATGCTGTATTGGATAACAATGGAAAGGACTTGGACACTGTGAGGTTGGTTGCTTTAGATATTGAAATGTGAAACTGAATCTTGAATTCTACAGCTTCTTATTTTTGGCCTATGATTTGTGATGATATTCACTACTGTGCTTGAAAGAAGTCAAGTCTTTTGATTAGTTAGAACCTTGTTTGAATTCTTTGAATCTTAAGAAATTAGCATAACTTAGGGGAGGGAGACCAAATTTAAGTTCATGTGTTTGACATAAATCCACAATAATTGATTAAATTAACTAATACAGATGATTTCTGAACCTTTGTTAATGATTGAGAACTCGGCCTAGCAGGGTCCTTTGAACCCACACCACACGTGTAAACTCATGATTCAAAGGCCATTCCTAAGCCTATGAACCGAGCAAATGGGAGGGGAGTTGAACCTCAAACCTCCTGGATAGGAACCTCGGTGACTGATATAAAAACTTGATTGCTGCCAGATTGAGAGAATTGAATGATGAGGCAGCATTGCATTACATTTCCAAGAAAGCATTGCAATTCACTCTACTTCGCAAAGTAAACTGTAACCTTTTTTTGTAAATGATCTTTAAGAAACATGTTCTGATACAATCTTTTTGCATAGGCCTGTGGCAGATTGGGCCAAAAGTTGTGGTGTAAAGCAATTTTTGTTTATCAGCAGTGCCGGAATCTACAAGCCAACAGACGAGCCTCCTCATGTTGAAGGGGTATGTAATTAGTCGACAGCCATTAACATATAAACCAAGGCTAAATTTTCTCAACTTAGCTATGGTCTCCTTATGACAGGATGTTGTAAAAGCTGATGCTGGTCATGTTGGAGTCGAGAAGTACATATCAGAGATTTTCAGCAGTTGGGCAGTTTTCCGTCCACAATACATGATTGGATCTGGCAACAACAAAGATTGTGAGGAGTGGTTCTTTGATCGTATGTATAAAATCTTGAGATAAGTTTTTTACTTCTTTTTCAATAGGAGCCTTCGCTCACTCAGCAGTTGACTCTGTCATGGGTAATTGATTTTGCTTCTTGCGCCTAGATGATTATTATTATTTTTTCACTATGTTCCTCATTGTCGCTCAGCAATCTTATACGTGCAGCATTTGTGCTATAAATATATATATTGGCAACTATGGATACCGTTTAGTTTATTTTTAGATAGGGTTTTAACTTAAGCTCAAATGACATGTCATGTGCATGCAGTTATCATATATTAATTCATCAATTGTCAACAAAAGAGGTCTTAAATCAAATGAGAAAGCCAAGTGCATGGAGGAATTTCACAGAATGAGACACATAGTAACGAACTCTGTCTCACATCTAGGGTTGCAAATGAGCTTATTCTAGCTCAAGCTCATTTGTATACTTAAAGAACCAAATAGAAGCAAAATACATAGTTATCTTGATCAATTGCTCCCATAACGTTCATGCTTTTGAAATCTATTAATACAGCAGTTATTAACTCTAAACAGGAATTGTTCGGGGAAGACCAGTTCCCATCCCTGGATCGGGAATGCAGCTAACCAACATCTCCCACGTTAGGGATTTATCATCCATGATTACTCTGGCAGTCGAAAATGCATCTGCTGCAAGCGGTAACATCTTCAACTGCGTGAGTGATCGTGCCGTGACACTTGATGGAATGGCCAAACTATGCGCTCAAGCTGCTGGCTGCCCAGTTGACATCGTGCATTATGATCCCAAAGCTGTTGGCATTGATGCAAAGAAAGCTTTTCCTTTCCGTAATATGGTATGAACATATCTTCTTTCCGTAATATGTTGTCAAAACCGTCTTAGAACATTTTGAATCATCAACAATGTGTTGTGTCGTGTCTTGATCTCTCTCTCTCTCTCTCTTGCAAGCATCAGATAATTCATACAATTGATGTACTTTTGCAGCACTTCTATGCAGAACCAAGAGCTGCGAAGGACATTCTCGGGTGGAACGCTACCACAAACCTTCCTGAAGACTTGAAGGAGCGGTTTGATGAGTATGTGAAGATTGGAAGAGACAAAAAGCCCATGAAATTTGAGATAGATGATAAGATTCTGGAGTCACTGAAAGTGCCAGTGGCTGTATGATATTCCACATGTCCATCCTACACAATGATTGAGATGCAATCATGTGTCTCATTCTCTCTTACATATATGCTAGATTGCTAAGAAGCAGTGTATCAAATTTTGCTCATTTATTCAGAGTAAATACAAAGAAATTACTTATTCTTCTCACCTTAAACATGTAGTCAGATTGTGTCAGAAAGCAAACCATCAATCATAACGGTTGTGGCTGCTCTCTTCTTGCCTTGCTTAGCTAATTTACCTACATATTAAGGACTAACAGAAGAACAAGCATCTAACGAATCATATTGATCCTACTACTACTCCACATGCTCTCCTAGAAAAATCTTCTCATCTGTCCTGAAGACTATATACAGGAGATCCACACCTGTCTGTCTGTCAGCATTTTTGAAAGAGTACAACAATATCCCTAATTATCATGACCATCCAATCTATCGAGTCAACCTTGACCGATGGGTTAATGCAACCAGCTCCAGGTTATTTCCACAGTGCAAAAGGCTGTCATTGTGGGGACGGTGCTGGGAATACAAAGGGACTGTGGAATAGAAATCCTCTACGAAAAAGTGAAATTTCACTATTTTGTATGCCAGATTGCTGGCAAGATTTGTGCGTTTGTAATGTATATCAGGCTTAAATTTTGTTTGAACTAGCACACCACCACCTTCACTTGTCATATTGGTTACTAAAAAGCACATTTGGTGGACCATAATCATAGTGTCAAAACGCCGACCAATTAAAGCATATAATCCAGCCAACCATACTCACATAGTCAGAACACCGACCAATCAAAAAGCATTCAGTGGACCATACTTGTATGGTAAAAACTGGCACACCACCTTCGCTTCAGTTTCAATCAATGCCAAGGCTTCGACAAAAGAGTAAAGAGAAGAGAGTAAAAGTTTTAGTACTTGAGCCTCTAAAGGAAGTGTAGATGGCACAGATCCTATCCGCAGGCCAAGCCTATTGAGTTATCAAAGGTGATCCAGGGGCCTTTAGTGCCATTAGTTTTTCAAGCACGCTCTTTTCTTATTAGTGTCTTCACCGGCTTATACTAGGGGAATGTAACGGCAAGTTGACCAATCAAACTACTATTGAAACCATGACTGTTAAGAACAGTAGCATTTATGTTGATTGATCTGAACAATCCAAGTTCCATATAATCATATATTTTGTTTTGCTCCATCAGAGAAAAGAAATTCATTCAGGTCCCACAAATGCCTCATTCAACATGCATATTATTCATCCAGATCAAAACTTGAAAAAAAAAAAAAAAAAATACCCCACATTACTTGAGCTAAAAGTGATGTCCAAATGCATTAGTAATGGTTCATCCACAAGGCAAATTTGGTATTTGCCTCAATTTGCACCACCACCACCACCATGTTTTATAGGAAACAAAACTAAATATTATTATAGCCTAGGGAGGAGGGGGAAACAAAGGACATAAAAAAAAAAAAACAAAAAACAAAAAATAGTACAACAGTGCCGAGCAATATCTCAAACCAAATCATGGTTCCCCAATAATATTAGGACACAAAACTAGTGAACTTGGGATGGTTCTGAAAGTCTCAGGAAAACAGAATACAATTCTTGCGAGATCAAAGCTTACCACATGAATCCACAGCCTGTCGTAATAACACGCAGCAACTTGAAATGAGTTTCAAATCAGGTGATGCCAAAGCAAGACACGCTGGTAATTCATCCTATTCCTCCGGCTTGATTTTGAGATCCTTAAGTTTGGACTCCAATTCATCGTCATGATCAGAAGCCTCCTCTTCATCCTCCTCCTCAAAGCCTTCTCCCTCTGGATCATTCTCATCCAACGGCCCAAGCATATCTGGAGAATGCTTGAATATCTCCTTCAGCTCATCAACCCCTTCATCAGATATGAAATTTCCGTCCAGGTTCAGTAACTTAAACCCTGGCTTACGTACAACTGCTTGAGCCAATACCCTGGCTCCAGCCCTTCTTATCGAATTGGTACTCAGATCAACTTCATTTAACTGGCTGTGACTGTCTTCAAATGTTTTGGCAATCAAAATCGCACCATCATCCTTTAGTTCATTCTCAGACAAGTTTAACTTGGTGAGAACTTGTTTTGCAGCTATACACGCAGCCAAAGCAGGAGCAGCTTTTACAGTGATGTCATTTCCGGCCATATCCAACACTTCAAGTGAAGGAGCGGTATTTGTGAGAGCATTAGCAAGAGCTATAGACCCCTCATCCTCCAGATTCAAATAACTGAGGTAGATCTCAGTGAGATCTGCAAATCCAGATAAGGCCTTGCTCAAAGCAACTCCAGCTTCCACGCCAAACATATTGTCACGTAAATCCAGTTTCTTTAAATGGGTACATGTCCCAACAGCTTTAGCCAGGGCAACACCACCCTCAAAGTCTACCCTCGTAGAAGAACACCGGAAATCCTCCAGGAGAGGAGATTGTTTCACAAGCTCAGAAATAGCAATTGCCCCCTCATCTCCAGTCATGTTATTATGAAATTGAAGGATTCTAAGCTTTTTAGTAGAAGGAATCAACTCACACACTGCTCGCGCTGCTTCCTCGGAGATTCCATCGTTCATCAAGTATAGCTCCTCCAAATTATTCTGTGATTTGAGGAGTGCTCCAAATGCCCTCACACCCTTTTCGCCCAAGGCATTGTTTGAAAGGTTCAAATACCGCAATTCACAAGCTTCCAGCGCTGATGAAAATATATTCATTACTTCAAGAGCTTCGTCCTCTGACCTTCCGGCAATGAAGTCTGATAGGTCTACTTCTGTTAGTTGATCCTTGAGGGAAGACAAGATGGGCTCAACAACACGTGCAGCATCCAAGCCAAAACTTCTATTGCTGAAACATATCTTAGTATATGCATTTCCTGGTTCACTCAATGGCTTTAGCAGTTCTTCAGCCTCCTCTGCATCAATGAAGGCCCGGCGACCTCCAGATATATCAAAAATATATTCATCATACGCTTTCGCTTTCTCAGAGATCATCACTTCCCCAACATCATTAGTTCTGGGGCCTCTTTTTAGAACTTCCAGCATAAGCTTACTGGACTCTTTAGCATACAGTTGCACTGCAGAACTTCCATCACCATCTGACTCCTTCTCGTAATGCTGGTTTGCAGTAGCAAAAGCCATGCTTTCTATTTGCTTGGCATCATCCTCAGCTTCTTCTTTGCTCAGCAGACCATACTTTCTAGAAAAAATGGATGGCGTAGTAAGATTCTTAGTCATTCGCTCCACAAGCAATAGCCTGGTACTCTGACTAGGGGGCCATAGTTTAATTGAGAATGTGCGGTTTTGAGTTGTGGAATCCATGTCAAAGTACCTGAAACCATGAGTTGCAACTACACCATAAGCTTGTTATGAAATCAAAAAGCAAAAATATAATAAAACAATACTCCAATCAAAATTGATACTTAAAATCTAAAATGACTTTGACTTGCGAAATATAAAATTCCAATACTTCAAGCAATCCACTGAAACTGTTGAAAAATCTCCAGACTTTCAAATTCTAAAACAAAACACAGACTAAAACCTATATTACATGGACTTGGGTCTGGGTGGCGATTGTGGGTGTGTATCTATAGATTAGACCCATCAAACTTCAAATTTAAGGTTACATAAACTCGGCAAAAAATGGTCATATTTTTATATTTTTAATCTATTATGTAAGATAAAATGGTGATATATGTAACATACAGTGAAAAAAATGCATTTTACTCATTTTATAGCAATTATACAACAACAAATACATACAATGCTTGCATTAAATACAAATATAAGAAGCATCCGATGAACAGTATTGAACACATATCCTATGCCATTGTACAAGTGTTCAGTGTCTGACAATGGTATTTGATTTATTTAGATACAAGATATAACGCTGTACTGTGTACAACAAGGATCACTCTTTATTAAAAAAAGATGGATAATCAATAAATAAGACTCGCAACAAATATTTCTCTCACAGTTTTCAGACAAAAGCAACCTATTAGAAAGGAGTGTACAATATTTTCTCATGACGGACTGCAGACTCACATTTATCCGAAAAATGAGTGCCTTTAGATACTTTAATTGTAATGCAAAACTCCTAGTTCTATTGCAACCTCAATTGTGTAATGATGCAGGTGAAATTGAGGCCCCATTTGGTTTGCCTTTGGAAAAATTTTCAAAACACTTTTCAAAATTCATAACCAAACACACAACTCAAAATTACACAAAACTCAATTCAAAACTCAAAACCAAACACACAACACAAAACTCAATTCAAAACCGTTTTTAAAACTCTTTTGATGATATAGTGTTGAAGATGGCTAGTGATGGGATTGTTAAATTATTTTTATAAAAAATCTAAAAAAAATAATTTCTATAATTAAAAAATATCTAAAACAAATATAATTTTTTTTTCTTCAAATAACAGGTTGCAATTGCAAAAAAATAAAAAATAAAAAATAAAAAAAATAAAATTCACTGTTCTGGTCAATCGGCCGAATGATCGGGTAAACCCAATTTGCTCTTTTCAAAATTCAAAATTCAAAAACACCTTTCAAAACTCATAACCAAACAAATTTTCTCTTTTCAAAACTCGACTCACAATTTCACACTCAAATCACAACTCCAAAACTAAACCAAACAGCCTGAGTTTTTCCCCTTAAACAATATTGAAGTTGTACACAAACTTCATGAAGAAACGGATTGTAAGGAAGCATTTAGACCAGCGAAAATCATACTAAAGCCCAGTGTTTTAAAAAGCTCTAGGAGCTAAGGTCTACTGGAACTTAAGCTCGAGGCACAAGATGAGGCGCAAATAGTACAAGATCAGCAAAATTTAATATAGGTAAAGTTCAGTACATAAAATAGATCATCACTATGAGTTATTACTTATTAGTGCATAATTGGTGCAAGATTTATTGTGAAATACTAAGTTCAGTGCTGATTTTATGTACCTTTTTATGACAGGGTAGGATTGAGTCAGCAGTAGAAGCCACTCTCACTCTGGCAGAGGCGCAAGCAACTGATTACAACAAGAATGACATGAATCATAAGAAGCAATAAAACAGAGTAAGAATAACAAAAGAAAAAAAGAAAAAGATAATAGAACCAGTCTCGGTTTGCTGGCCAAAATCAAAGGAGGAGGCGGCGAAGGAGGAGGAAAACAGGGGCAGAAAAAAACAAAAAGAAACCAAAGGTGGATAAGGTAGCAGCACTGTTGTATTACCCAAATGACCAATGGAATTGCTAAACAATTGTTAATTTTCTGTTCTATTAAGTCTTCAATTACTTTTCAGGAGAAGGCAATAAAATCCTGTAAAGGAAACATAGGCTGGAGAAAAATCTAAGCGAAGCGCACAAGTTGTGCACCTAGAGCCCCAGCCTCAGGCGCACGCCTCACCTCAAACAGTTTGAGCCACACAGTTGCGCCTTGCAGAACACTGCTGAAGCCAATAGCTATGAAGCTAAAAGAGAAACCCAGTTGGTGAAGCATTAATGGTGATAAATAAAAACAAAGGAGAAACCCATTGTATAAAATCTTTATGCTACAGCATGAACAGCTGAATCCAGACTCGAGAAACAGTCCCAGTTTCTGAGAAAAAGCAAAAGAAGCAAAGAATACAATAGAGAGAGAGACAGAGTTAAGAGCAGTGATTTTGATCAGCTTTTAGACATGAATCTAGAGGTTGCAATTTCTGGAAAGCAATGTTTTGAAAACCAGACCGGTGAACGAACCGGAAAAAGGACCGAGTGGACGGGTCACCGGTTCAACCATCGGGTCAAAGCGGTTGAACCGTGATGTCATAATTAAAAAAATAATTATAAATTATAAATAAATAAAAATATTTATAAATACTCAGATAAAAATGAAAATTGTTACATAGTATTTATTAATAATATTTAATAAAGTCATAAATGATAAGAAAAGTTTACTTGTTTTAAAGAAATTAAATTTTTTTAACATTCCCTCCAAACAAATTAATTGAATGCTAGATTTAATTTTGGAGGAAAATGAAATTTTCAACTCTGCCTCCAATTAATATGATTCAAATAATTTGATTGAATCCTACATAGAATTTTCTAGATTTTCTTTGAAAAACCTTTCCCTATAAATAGCAATAGACTTTCATAATCTCCTCAAACTTTCAATGAGACTCCTCCTTATGAGAGGAGACTCTTGAAGTAAGAATTTTTAATTAAAATTTTGAAATATATATATATATATATATATAAATAAATATATAAGAAAGAAAGAAAGAAAAGAAGAAAAAAAAAGACAAAAGACAAAAAAAAAAAAAGAAGGGGCTGACCCTCAAAACCCGGTCTGGGTCGCCGGTTTTACCAGTTCAACTGCCGGGTCTACCAAATTTTCAATTTTACACTGGTTTTGGCCTTAGTCTGGGTTTAGAGGGTTTTTCGGACCGGAACAAGGCCCGATTCCCGGTCCGCTCCGGGTTTCAAAACAATGTTGGAAAGTATGCACTGTCCTTGCACTGAATTGCTAAAGGGAAAAACATAATAAAAACAAAAAACAAAAAATGGGGCAAAAAAGCAATCACAAACCAGTCTATTTTTTGCTATCAAGCATAAGATAAATACAGCAGTTTCTTCAAAAAGATGCCCTTAATAAAAAGCCCAAAAAACCTGAGAAAATATAATTTCGCAAGCTGGGAAATACGCCATAACCAAAAAGAAAAAAACAAAAGTACACTTACAATCAAGTAAGAATATGAAATTTAATAAGTTGGCAATGGGTTGATTGAGGTTTGTTGATTCTTTTGGATTGATGGGGTTCTAATTTCTTTTGATTGTGGGATTGGTTTTCCTCGCAACAATTCTAGAGCATTCACATCTTTTGACTAGTTTGTTAGGGGTATGCCCCTTGAATATTGTACAAACTGATGATTCCTTTTAATGAAGTTCTCACCCAATTGCCTTGTAACGTGTAGTATTATTATATTATATATATACTAGCGATCCACACATGAGATGCATGCGCAACTCGAAAAAGAAAAGTAATATTATAAAAATAATGACAAAAAGAAATGCACATATAGTATGTGTTGCTCAAGTGATAAGAGTCTTTTTTACGAAACCCATGGTCTTAGGTTCGAAGCCATTCCTCCCCTTTATATAATTTTACAAAAACACCAAATATAGGGGTATTTTGGGAAAACCCAAAATATGAGACATTTTGTGTCAATACCACGAGAACCCTTCACAAATATAATAAAGATAATAGTATAGAAGGTATATATGTATGTGAAGTGAGAATAGACAACACACCAAAGAGTCAAACACTCCCACAAAATGATTAAAAATAGGCAACAATCATCGTATAAGAAAGAAAATGGGCCAAGGAAAATTAGCATGTCAATGCAAGGAGTTTACTCCAGATTTTCGTCAAGTCACATGAGTACATTAACCAAAACCTCTAGCCCTGATCTCCATTATGCACAAGATCAGATCTTTGTGCAAACAACACCACCAGGTTAACATCCATAGCCCTGACCTCTGTAATGCAAAAGACCAGATTCTTGTGCAATAAAATAAAAACACTAACACCACCCTGTTAACACTCATCATTTCTCTACCAGTCGATGGAAAAAGCATCATAAAGATTGCCCTTTCCATACAACAATCCACCAGAAAGGACCTTCTAAAACGAAGTTCAGCATCAATTAGACAAAAAAAATTCAAAAATACAATATTGAACTTGCCATCAAACTTCAGTGCCTGAATTCCAAAAACCAATCCTATAAATAGAAGCCAGTATAAGTCCCAATAATTCCCCATATAAATTTTTAAAATAAATAAATAAGTTATGCCCTAAGAAGTATGGATATAAATATAAGACACAGATGCGACATGATCACACGACAACATGACAAATCTTTAAAAATTACATGGCAAGGAAGGACACTACAACAAATAAATATAAATATTTTCATACATACATGAAAATAATAATTTCTTCAATCTGTATGTCACAAATACATTTACATTTTATCGTATCAAAATAGTAAGATATCTTTTTCTACATTCTATGTACTTGGGGGGAAAATGTAAATAAGGAGTCTTAAATCTCAATATCTATTCTAAAAAAAAAATTCTTTTAAAAAAACTTTAACTAGAGGAAGCTTTATACTTCGGCCTTACCATAGAGTTCTATAACTTTCAAAAAATGCAGAGAGGTCTACAACAGAATAAATAAACAGCAGCCTAATATCAATACAGATTCAATATTCTTGTCATCTTATTCTTTAAAAAATTCAGACTGATGGCATACATCTTTTCAATATTGTTGTTTTTCAGCTATGCAAACATGAAAATTTCACAGATATGCAAAAACAATTCACAGAGAGAGAGAGAGAGAGAGCATGCAAAGAAACATTTACGCTGTGTTTGGTTGGGGGATTTGGGAAGGGAAATGGAAAGGGAAATGGAAATGAAAGGAAAAGGAGAAAGAATTAATAGAATTCCAAATCCCAACTATGTTTGGTTGTGTTGGTTATAAAATAGAATTGATGTCCTAAAAGGTCTCCTATTTCTTTATTTATTTCTCACCCCTTTTCTTTTCCCATATATTTTTTATTATAACCAAACATAAATAGGATTACATTTCTCATTCCTTTTCTAAATCTCACCCCAAAAACCCCAACCAAACACAGCATTAAAGAAAGCAGAATGCTCCACAGATATATTTCTTTTATTTTTACTGTTCAACTACCAGAATATTAACCCCCCAAACAAGTCTTTCAGAATACACATAGGGACAAGTTTTAATTTTTTTTTTTTTGTACATCACAGGCATAAACACTTTGTTATCAATCGGAACATATGCGAAGCCTACCGCATATTTGTGGTCTGCCAGTTGCTAATCATAATCCCTAAAATTAGACGGAAATTAAATCAGATAAGAAGATAAGGTTCGAGAGGTCTGGTAGAGAAGATAGTCACTGTGAAGAATAAAAGGCATAACCAAAACAGATCATCAGCCAATGAACACAATTTCCACGCACAAAATTATATCAGAACAATAGATGTGTTTTTCACCTTAAAATGAAACCCTAATTCTTCAGACATATCAAAAATTCAGAACTAATTTACAAATATATATATATATATATATATATATATATAAAACAAAAGGGAAAACCAAGAAGCTCCAGGATAGCTTCAAGCAACCTCAACTCTAAGATAAACCACTTTGGTTAATGATTGATATGCAAAAGTATAGTGTATCTAAGCGACTACGCACAAAATTTCAAGAGAGAGAGAGAGAAAGAGAGAGAGAGAGAATTTTGTTCGAATCTATGACAGAGAGAGTTCATCAAACACGCCGAGCATGATGGAATTAAGGAGGCATACAGTGTGTATCTATCTGTGTGCTTGGGAGAAATGGAGGGAAATCATGAACTCGAACTGGCAATCTTTGATTCCTTTTTCTTTGTGGGTTTAAAATAAACATGGTTATTTAAAATAAAATAAAAAAAATTAATTTAATTTTTGAGAGTAATCAATTAAACAACCATGCTGCAGACTCGAGCGGGGTCGCACCCCAGTGAGGTGGCGAATTTTCACTGGCTGAAACTAAAAAAATAATTAAAAAAAAATAAAATAATTTTTTTTTTGTCCAATCACGACGTGCCACCTCACTGGGGTCAATCCCCGTCGACCCCAGTGGAGGTTCGAAGCATTTTTCTCAATTAAATAGTAAAAATAACTTATTTTTTTAAATATTTTTTAATTATTAATTAATTATATTATTTACCTATCATTAAATTTAAAAAATAATTATCTATATATTTTTTATAGAATTATTTGAATTTTTTTTTTCAAATTATTTTAAATTCGATGGACGTCACGAACCTCAACCCTGATCATTTTTTTATCCATTTACTTCTTGAAGTATGTGCCCAGCCCAATTGGGTTTGATTTTGGGTTGGGTTACGGCCCGTGGGGTCTCACATCTAAGCCCAATATCAACCTTAATAAGACCCTTTCAAATTCGTTTCTTTCCGCGCTTGATATGATAAATAAATAAAGAATAATGCTTGGGACCCCCTTTTGGGGTCACCCCCTCACCCATTTTTGCCACGTGGCGGGTGGTGATTGGGGGAGCAGGAAAAAAAGAAAAAGAAAAAGAAAATGTAACCAATGAGAGAGAGAGGGGGTCAAAGGAGATGGGAGAAAAGGGGGGATGAATCATTGTTGATAAATAAATTATGCTCGTATAATTACATTGAATTCTCTAAAATTCTAATTCATCTAACATCGGAACTTATTTCATCAAAAATCCACTAATCATATGAATGAAAAAAATAATATTATCATCTCTTTTATATTAAAATATACATTTTACCTTATATATTTTCATACTATTTGTATTAATTTTGATCACTATAACCATGCAAAAAGAAAAATCAGTATAATTGTCTCAAAAATGTGAGACTAATATTTTCTACAAACCTTAAGGAGATGAATGCAGTTTGTTGGAAGGCCGTTATTAATAATAACTTTTTGATCTTCTGTTCCTACTTGGTCAATTATTGGAAGGCCGTTATTAATGAGAGATGGCAAATTCAATAGGTGAATTTGTTCAATTACACTCGTTTAAACTTGTTCAAATACATAAACATATTTAAATGAATTGCATCTTACAAATTCAAAAGGGGTATGATGAGTATGTGATGAGGCATTCACCAAAAGGGGTCTTTTACAATCCCAGTATCTTATCTCCTTGTTCGGTAGAATTAGGATCTCGGTCTTCCACTTTAGCACCAAATCCTTGCAAGTTTTATATACTCGACCCATGTTCAAATACTTGGTAGTAGAAGAGCTCCAGCTTTCAAGATGTTAGAACGATACAGCCACCAGATATGCTCGCCTTTAAGAAAGAAATTTCCCAGAGTAATTATCTGGGAGGCTTCTCCAGGGAAATCCAACCAAATTTCCCCTTTCGGAAGTCTGTCAAGACACGAAATGCCGCTTGATTAGTGTCTCCATTGAACATCAAATTCATTTCTTTCCGCGCTTGATATGATAAATAAATAAAGAATAATGCTTGGGACCCCTTTTGGGGGTCACCCCTCACCTCCTTTTGCCACATGACGGGTAGTGATTGGGAGAGCAGGAAAAAAAAGAAAAAAAAAAAGAAAATGTAACCAATGAGAGAGAGAGGGGGTCAAAGGGGGTGGGGGAAAAGGGAGGATGAATCATTGTTGATAAATAAATTATGCTCGTATAATTACATTGAATTCTCTAAAATTCTAATTCATCTAACATCTGAACTTATTTCATCAAAAATCCACTAATCATATGAATGAAAAAAATAATATTATCATCTCTTTTATATTAAAATATACATTTTACCTTATATATTTTCATACTATTTGTATTAATTTTGATCACTATAACCATGCAAAAAGAAAAATCAGTATAATTGTCTCAAAAATGTGAGACTAATATTTTCTACAAACCTTAAGGAGATGAATGCAGTTTGTTGGAAGGCCGTTATTAATAATAACTTTTTGATCTTCTGTTCCTACTTGGTCAATTATTGGAAGGCCGTTATTAATGAGAGATGGCAAATTCAATAGGTGAATTTGTTCAATTACACTCGTTTAAACTTGTTCAAATACATAAACATATTTAAATGAATTGCATCTTACAAATTCAAAAGGGGTATGATGAGTATGTGATGAGGCATTCACCAAAAGGGGTCTTTTACAATCCCAGTATCTTATCTCCTTGTTCGGTAGAATTAGGATCTCGGTCTTCCACTTTAGCACCAAATCCTTGCAAGTTTTATATACTCGACCCATGTTCAAATACTTGGTAGTAGAAGAGCTCCAGCTTTCAAGATGTTAGAACGATACAGCCACCAGATATGCTCGCCTTTAAGAAAGGAAATTTCCCAGAGTAATTATCTGGGAGGCTTCTCCAGGGAAATCCAACCAAATTTCCCTTTTCGGAAGTCTGTCAAGACACGAAATGCCGCTTGATTAGTGTCTCCATTGAACAATTGGAGTGCGAGCTTCTCAACAAATCTGCAATTCAGGAATTTAACAGTTCCAAATCAAATCAGTGATTGAAGTGGAATGAAAAATGTAAAAGTTACCGTCTGTAAATAGCTTCCAAAAGCAAAAAATGCATAATATCATATTTTATGAAATAGAATAGATATTTATCAACTTTCTGATGACCAAGTCATGATTCTTGCATACATGGTTTTCCTGATTGGGCTTTCAGAATATTTTCCTAACTGTTCTGTCAAGTGGGTCACACTATTGAAAGTGATTACACTAGTGCACCGTGGAACACAAACTTAAACTTACGTTTTACCACAGTGACCATCTGTGTCAATCTTGTAGCGCTTGTAAAGAGCTTTTGTACCTGGCGATAACAAACATTGTTGTTAATACTCTCAGAATAAAAGCAAAAGAAACTCTGGAGTTCAAGTAAGCGAGACCACATTGAGCAACTAGCACCAGTGGTTTAGAGCTTAAGAAGTTATACTAGACAATTCAAGTGGTTTTGATTTCAAGAAAGTTGCACCACTATTAACATGTAGCAGATTCATTTTGAGTTTAAAGAAATTCTAAATTCCAATAAAAGAGATCTATCTGTGTAAATGTGCAAGCTACTGCAGAATCAAGCCTGGATGTTGGAAATCAAAGCAAAGGGAAAGCCTCCTCTCAGTTTCTGCCTTTCCAGCAACCAATGGCCATGTCTCACAACATGGTCAAACAGTAAGTGAAGATGAAAGGAGCTAAAACATACAGAGAGAACTTGGTAGTGTCAAACAAAAATAGTGAAACTGTAATCTTTCTTCTTTTTCCTTTTTTTTTTTTTTTTTTTCTCTTTTTTAAATCTTTCCATTTTGTAGTAAATTTTTTAATAACAGATAACATAGGCAAATGACAAGCGGGAAAGTTCTTATTTAATTGTCGTAATTTCTTTCCTTCCACTCAAATTAGCCAGTCCATATGCTCTGTTCATACCTTCATAGTTCTCAAGTTTCAGTACACCATTATAAATCTCTGTGAAGTACAATTTAGGCCTCGTTTGGGAACAGGCTAATTTAGTAACTTTTTGGCTATTTGGCTAAAACGATAGCTAAAAAAAACTTGTATGTTTGGGATGACTTTTTGGCTAATTACGAAAAGATGTGCAAAAAGTAGAGAGAAAAGAGAATCTTTGACTTTTTGGTATGGATTGTTGGCTTTTTGGCTAATTTAGTAACTTTTTGACTTTTTGGCTAAAAAGGTAAATTCCCAAACGGGGCCTTAGTCTATAAAAAAGATTTAGCCCCTTGAATCCCAGTGGTGAGACATCCATTAAATTTCTGTTTCTTTGCAAGTCACTATGAGCCATATATCTAAGAAAGGACACATATAGTGGATTCAATTAGCACACTTCCGTTTATAACATTCACGTTCCAGAATCTGTATGATGTATCAATACATTATGAGACTTAGGACCCAACTAACCTTCCTGGAATTTCATTTAATTTAGGTAAAAACTAAAGCTAGAAAAAAGAAAATACTAAAAATTTTATCATCCCACAAAATTTATTGTCAAATCCATTAGTCAGGGAAGATGTTACTATTTGCTACTTCGAAATGTATATTACACATTAATTTTTTTCTGAAGCTCTTTCATGTGTAACCAACAATGCTACTTTGCTATATAAAAAAAAAGAAAAAATTAAAAAAAGAAAAAGAAAAAAAAAGGTCAACATGATTCCAAGAGAAAGCAAAATCAATTGGAAAAAGGAAACGAAGCACACACCAACTGTTGGAAGCCTTGAAAGCATTTGTACAAGAATGGCCGCAACATCAATGACATTATAGGATCTTTCCCCAATATCATCACATATGGCAAGCTTTATTGCTGATGTCTGATCGCTTATCCGCATTGGGATTATACCAGGGGAATCCAGCAACTCCAGATCCTTCCCAAATCGAACCCATCTTCCCAAGGACAAAAGAGAAGTAAAATGTGGAAAAACAAAATGAAACAGTCAGCAAATTTACTGAACATCAACCTCACATATCACTAGTGAAATAAAGTGTGTTTCTTCAATGCAGACAGAAGTAAGATGCAAGAATATAATTACCAAAAAAAAAAAACAAGATGCAAGAATAGCCTAAAAAATAAACTTGACCCATAAGTCAAAAAAAATTCTAAATTTCTGTTAATAGTTTTTTCAGCCACTTCTTAACTTTGTACATTTGGAAATTCATAAAAATTTCAAACTTCATATAGATGAAATTACAGGAATATCTTAAACAAAAAGCTTTTTACACAATCTTTTTTTCTCCCCAAAATTTCTGTTAGTTTTCGAGCCACTTTTTAGCTTTTAACTTTCAAAAAAATCTAAGTTCTTGTTGGCAAACTTTCAGCTTCAAGTAAAATTCGGAAGAAGCTTTGGTTTCTTTGAGCATCATCAATGTCAGACATAAATGAAAAGCCAAACTGAATGTCACTAATAACTCTTCTCATTCCTAATCTACTTTAGATATTAAGTGATTCAAACGATAAGACATACTTCAATTCTCTTGTAACTCCTGGTCTTGGAGCAGCTGGACACATCCGGCGCTTCAGCAAACGGTTTATCAAAGATGATTTACCAACGTTCGGATACCCAACTATTCCAGCTCGAACCTATCAAAGAATGAAGGCTATCCTCATAAGCAAAACAACAATTTGTGAAGATACCACCAATTTCACTGAGTCATTCACAGATTCAACCTAGAACTACATCTGCAAACAAGAACCCTGTTTTCCCAAAAAAAAAAAAAAGGGGAAAAAGAACAGCACTTCCCAAAGTTTCCTTGAAAACATTTTTTTAGGGAACAAAGTGTAAATGCTGAGAATTCAATCGTTCCCTAACTTGGCCTTATATGATAAGACATGACTCAACAAGTTTTTGTAACCTTTGACACCACAAATGATGTAACTACAAGAGTGTTTCAATAACTCAGCATTTTTTACAAGATCAAACTCACATACAAGAGAACACTACAACCAACAGTAAGAGATTTCAAAACAAAACAAAAGTGCTACTGCTAGAGCTGTGCATTTTACTTGATGGAAATTCAAAGAAAAGCCACGAAACAACCTGCAACTGGATCATCTCTGGAAACAATTATACCCTAGAGTAAGGTGCATCAAAATAAAGCTCTGAGAGAAACTCACCGGACGAGGAAGTAATCCTTTTGCTCTGCGCTTCACATTCACACCAGCTGCTAATGCCTTTGCTAACCTATTCAACTTCATGGTGCCCTGCAACACATTCAAGAAAATCATCCCCTTTTTACTCCTTGAGCATAAGGGGAGATTTGTAGTTGAACTACCAAATTGAAAAGAAATGCATTGACTTGAGTACCATCCCAAGCTGCCCATTGGAAAAGACAACCTTCGTTCCTTGCCTTGCAAAATAAGTTGCCCAATCATTCCGGTCCTCGGTGGATATCATATCATCTCTATTCAAAACTAAAATTCTTTTTCTATTGCCAAGCCATGAATCCATCTGTTGAAATAAGTTCAATTAATAAATGAATGAATGAATGAAAAAAGTTCCAGATTAAAAATATGAGATTTGAACTTCTTTGTTTCAAGAATGGACGTCAGATGGCATGTTAATAGAACTACGATTGCTCTCATTCCTAAAGTTAATAGCCCGGAGAGAGTGAAACAATTCAGACCAATCAGGCTCTGTAATGTGACCTACAAAGTCATTACAAAAATTTTGGTGGATTGAATTAGACCTTTCCTTGATAGTATTGTGAGACCCAATCAAAGTAGTTTTATCCCTGTTAGAAATACCAGTGATAACATTATCATCACTCAAGAAGCTATCCACTCTGTGAGACATATGAAAAAAGCTGGTAGTATGGTTATGAAAATTGACCTTGAGAAAGCTTATGACAACATATCTTGGCACTTTCTTAGAGAAACTCTTCATGAGGTTAATCTCAATGAACGGTGGATTGATCTTATTATGTGTTGTATCACAACTGTGAAATCTGCCATTTTGTGGTATGGGGAAGCTTTAGAGGAGTTTAGACCCACGAAGGGTCTAAGACAAGGGGACCCTTTATCCCCTTATCTGTTTGTCATTTGTATGGAAAGACTATCTAAAATGATTAGCCACTTGGCTGATATGAAAAGCTGGAAGGGTGTAACAATTTCTAAGGGTGGACCTTGCATTACTCACTTGTTTTTTGCATATAATCTCATCCTTTTTGCTAAGGCTGACCCTAGACATTGTGATTTGATTGCTGAAGTTATGGAAGGGTTTAGCTCAAGGTTCTGAAAAGCGGTTGCGGTCGCGGTAACAGTGGCGGTGGCGCGGTTGCGGTTGCGGGATGTAAAGGCCGTAGTGTAACGGTTGCGGTAACCGGAACCGTGAATTTTTTTATTTTTCGCACAATTTGAAAAAAACTTACCGATAAGCATATTTTTTTTCCATGATCATATTTATTGAGTTAAAAATAAATATTGATCAATTTTTATAAATTTTTAAGTATGATCCAATATATTTCATATTTTTAAATCACTATAAACTGAGTTTTTTACATTTTATTTTAATAATTAATAACTTTATATTATACAAAAAAATCAATCACTAACTATTATATATATAAGATAAACAATGATAAAAGTAAGAGAACAAATAAAAGCCTAAATATATATATATATATATTAACCAAGCCAATAATGACCACACTTATTATTATTATTATTTTCAAATAATATAGAAATAGACACACACAAACAAAATAGTTGAGTGATAGCAGCTGAATAGAATAGCATAGGCCTTACAGCTTCAACAAATCAATAATATGTACTTCATCTTCCTTCTTTTCTGTCTCTATCTCTTACTCCTCCATTTTCTATCTTTATCTTCCCTCTGCTCTCTATCCCTCTTCCCCCATTTTCAGCTTTTTTTTGTGTGTTTTTTCGAAAGAAACAGTTTGGAACCGTTACGTAACGGTGCATAACAAGCCGTTACGGCTGTTACGGTGCCGTTACGACCACTATGGCAGCCGCTACGGCCGACACACCTGTGAATCTCAATTACACTGCAAAGGCGGCCGTAATGGGTGGCGGTAACCGCCAAAACCATTACGTAACAGCGTTACGTAACGGTTGCAGCCGCTTTTTAAAACCTTGGTTTAGCTCCATCTCTGGACTTAAAATCAACTTCCAAAAATCGAAACTTTTTGTGTCACCTAACATTGACAGAAGAAAGGCTAGAGAGTTGAGTAGCCTTTGTAATATCCCACTTACAGCTAATCTTGGGAAGTATCTGCGTGTCCCTATCTTACATCAGAGAGCTAACCGAAGCCAATTTAACTTTATTTTAGAAAAAATGCAAAGCAAGCTGGCTGGGTGGAAGATGAAAGTCTTGTCTATGGCAGGAAGAACTACCTTGATCCAATCTGTGACCTCAGCTATTCCAACATACCCAATGCAAACTATGGCAATCCCCAAGAGGGTGTGTAATGAAATTGATCGCATCAATCGAAACTTCCTTTTGGGGGGACACTATGGACAAGAAAAGGATTCATCTTGTGAATTGGGATGAGGTGTGTAAAAGCAAAAAGTTTGGGAGGCTTGGAATCAAGAAAGCTTGTGAGCAAAACATGGCCCCGCTCTCCCAACTTAGTTGGAAAATTCTCAATAATGAGAATAGTTTGTGGATTAAGGTTCTCAAGGCCAAATATCTCAAGAATTCCAACCTTTGCAACTGGAATAAAAGAAAGAAGGCTTCTCATGTGTGAAGAAGCATCACAAAAACCAAGAACATGTTGAAAAAAGGTGTTAAATGGTCCATTGGTGCCAACTCTAATGTCAATCTATGGAGTGATTGGTGGTGTGGTGTAAAACCTTTGGAAGAATCTGTTCCCCGCTCCCTAATCCCCCCACATGTTGGCTCTGATTTGATCAAGGTGCACTCTCTCCTCGATGAGGAAGGTGATTGGGATGTGAACACCATTAACCAAAGCTTCCCAACCAATGTGGCTGAAACTATTTTTAAAGAAAACCCCCCTCTTTACAATCCATACCCTGATCAACCACATTGGAAAGGATCTCTAGATGGTTGTTTCTCAACATCTAGTGCCTATAACCTGTTCATGGAGCATGATGACCAAAGAGAAAACTGGTAGTGGCTCTGGAAATGTAAAATTCCTCAAAAGATCAAGTGCTTCCTTTGGGTTGTGCTCCATGGAAAACTTCTGACAAATTGTATGAGGGTAAAGAGAGGGTTGACTGAAAACCCATCATGCCCTTTTTGCAATGAGACGGAAGATTTGGATCATCTTTTCAAAACTTGTTCTGGAGCTAAGGCTGTGTGGATGGCGGTTTTCACTAGAAATTGGTACCTTGAGATGAGAAACTCATCTTGGTGGAACTGGATATTATGTAATTTAAAAAAGAAAAATAGTATTGGGAACAATACTCCTTGGTACATTATTTTCTCAGTTGCTCTCTGGAAAATCTGGAAAAACAGAAATTTAAAAATCTTTGAAAACAAAAATATCAGTATCTTTGAGAGTGTTAAATTTATCTCAGAATTTTCCAGAGAGATCAACCAAGCTTTCACACTATTTGTTACTCATCCAAGACAAACACATCTGCTAATCAAGTGGACTTTTCCTCCTTCAGGTACCCTCCAGTTGAACACTGATGGCTGCTACAGAATTGCCAGACCTGGAGGATTTGGAGGGCTGATCAGAGATGAAAAGGGAGCATGGATTTGTGGCTACTATGGCAGACTTGAGAACCGCACCAGCCTTGAGGTAGAACTATAGGCTGTATACAAGGGTCTCACCATTATCCTCCAAAAAGGCTTCAACAAAGTGATAATTGAAACAGATGCGGATGAAGTGGTGAAACTTCTTGAAGAAGGCCCTTGCCAAAAACACCTCCTCATAGGTCTAGTGGAAGACACAAGAATAATCTTGAATGGCTGTCAATGCACCGTACAACACATCTACAGAGAAGGAAATCTTTGTGTAGACGCAATGGCCAAGCTTGGAGCTGAGCAACCTGAGGACATCCTTGTTGTAAACAACCCACCTGCTGAAATGAGAGAGCTCTTGGTCTCTGATATGGTGGGATTAGCTAGGGAAAGGGCTTAGTCCCCGTTTGTTTGTTTTAAATTCCGATGTACCGGGAAAAAAAAAAAAAAAAAACCAATAATACAGATCAATAAATCAACTCATTAGATCACAAATCTTTCATTATGCACTTCAATAAACATGATTTCTGAACGAAACACGTTTTTCATTTCTCTTTGTTTTTTTAATCCAGTTCAACAATTGAAAGATGTGAGGACCAGCTTGTATTTCTCTTGTAACATAAAGATGAGGTGAATGACAGCTCATGAAGGAAGAGTTTCACACTTCTTTAGTGCTCAAAGTAAATAAAGCTCAAAAAGAAAAACATTCTTAAACAAATGCTGACCAAACTTAATTCCTTCTGATTTATGCATTATGTTCATAAACATGGACCTCTCTCTCTGGAGAAGAAGATGCAATATGTATGCATAGCAAATAACAAAAGATTTGCGCCAAAGCTTGAAATATATTTTCTATTTCATTTACTTATTAGCAGCATGGTACTGTCGTGCAAGAAGTATGGAATTATTTCTTTTCATATTGTTCTTCATCTAGTGTTTCTTTCCATTGGATTAAATTTTGAACAGATATGTGATGGAGAATATCAATAAGGTTAGAATGTAAATATTAACAGAATACACCACAGGCAGTGTGTTTTCTAGGTGAAGGTGCTCATAGGTATCTGTGTGTGTGGGACTAATCGTAGAACATAGGGTAATAGAAACAGGGAACTCGACGAGAACAAAAGATTTACTTACATACAAAAAGCATACATCCAAGAACCCCAAATCTATTTTATTTTTTATTTAAAAATAAAAAATAAACACAGAAGTAGTTAACCTGTGGATGACTTGTGGACATAGGAATCCTTGCATCTCGCACTTCTATCACGACATCCATCAATTTCAGTTGTTCTTTTAGTTCTTTCTCAGTTTTGGCAATATGACCAGGATACCACTGTTCAATTAAAAGTCTCAATAAGTGTACAGCCATACATAAGGATGACTGATCCGAGTATAAAATTTCTCACCAAAATTACCATTTCAAGATCAAATATGCGAATGCATAGCTAATTCCTACCTGAACAGGGCGCAACGACTTTGTCCAGTGATAAAGATCAGCATCAAGATCAACCCAATAGTTTTCTCCTTCGTTGACGTCAAATGGATCACTGGAATTGGAACCCCCATTCCCATACCACCCTGGATTTTTTCCACCGACAATCTGAAAATATTTGGCATCAAGACTAAGGGTCTGTTTGGATGGATGTGCATTTCAAACAAAGGGATTTCAAATTAAATAAATAGAATAACAATGAATTAAGATAAGTTAAGATAAAAGATATATAAATTTTATTTTAGTAGGACCCTTGTAGCTCAGAAAATAATTCTTAGCATGACTTCAAATAACTATTTTTTGGTTATATAGTTATTTCAAATCCATCATGATAACATTATTCAACTCAATCTTGAAACTCATAAGAAAACTATTATATTTAAAATTGAGTTATAATTTGTCATTGAATGTAAGAAATCCATATCTATCCAAATGGACCATCATAAGTTCTTCATTCCAACAGCCAGATGAGAATAGCTTCATAATTATACCAGTAAAGATAATCTCAAGCCCTATAGATTAATAAAAATGAAAAAACAAAATTAACTATTTAATTGCAGTTCAAAAAAATTAATTGAACACACAGGGAAAACCAAAGGCTCTACTCATCTGAACCTAAAACAACTAACGCCGTGTTTGGTTGGGGATTTGGAGAGGGATTTAGAAACGAAAAGGGAAAAGGTGTGTGAAACTATGTGAAATATAGATATATTTTGTTCACATTTCACCTACATTTTTTCATTTCTCTTTCTAAATCCCTTCTCAAATCCCCTAACAAAACACAGCATAAAAAGGGTTTTTTTTTTTTTTTTTTTTTCCATCCTTCAAAAGGACATAACTGAACAAAACTTAGAAACCTAAAGACAAGGAACAGATGAGTTGCCTGAATTGTGGGGGGAGAAGAAAGAGGAGAGGCATTTCTGTTCTTGGTAGTACAAAGTCGGATAGGTCTTTTCTGTTTCTCTCTTTACGGTCCGTTTGGTTTTTTGTTTTTTGGGGATAGAAAGAAGAAGCAAGTAAATTATTTTAATAGTTAAATTTAAATTATATTTGTTTAGTTTTTTGAGAGGAGAGATTGGATTAATAACCTATGGATCTATTTAAAAAGTGTTTGGTTGGTAACTATCGCCTGTATTAGTAATTTCCTGTGTGGTAGCACTAATAAATCATGAGAAGGTTAGGATTAGAAATTGATGGAGGGAATTAGTAAATTTTTAAGTAAAAAATATTTTAGAACCAAAAAAAAATTATAATACTAAAAAGGGATTTTTATTGATAAGTCCAATTTAGAAGTGTTTTAACCCAAGAAGTCCATGAAGGAATTTTTTAACCCATTTAGTCCCATGTATGTATAGGTTTATTCCATAAAGTCCATTTTCTTGATTTTCACTATTTTCTTTGACACTTATGCCCTTGGAGAGATTGGATAGTGTTTGGTTGGTAACTATCGCCTGTATTAGTAATTCCCTGTGTGATAGCGCCAACAAATCATGAGAAGGTTAGGATTAGAAATTGATGGAGGAAATTAGTAAATTTTTAAGTAAAAAATATATTTTTTAAAATCAAAAAAAATTTATAATATTAAAAAAATACTAAAAATTAAAAATAATTAATTTTAGAGAAAATTAGTCTTAGGTCCCTCTTCCATATTTAATAATGTAAGAGATCCACAATCTTATTTTATTATGTTTAATGTCTTCCACCCCTCCCACCACTATCTCTCTCTCCCGATCTCTCACCCCCTCCAAGAACTACTGGAGGACTCACATGAGGAAGAAGGCTCAGGAGAGGAAAAGGGCCATGTCACTACCTTCAAATTCATCTTCTTCGGTCTCAAACAATCCTCCAGTGGACTCGATGCCCTTCATGGAGACCAAGGGATGAAGCTTCCACGATATCGGTGCGGATCATGATCAGATGTTGACTCCAAAGGGAATAAATAAGGGTTTTGAAGAGGGAGAGAGTACTGAAACAGAGTACCCCATGGATGACATATGAGAAGATATTGCTCTATCTGAAAGCGACATGATGAAAACAGTTTGTGAAACAATCATGGCTTCTCCAATTTGGAACTATTGTCCTCTTCCTCCTGACATGCTTTGGATGATGGAAGACCTCGCTCATGGTCCAGACCTCACTCAAGGAGACCTCCGTAAATCTGACAAAGGCCACCGAAACTGTATCGTTGTATCGGAACAAGAGTAAGATCTTCATCCTCATCAATGCAAATGGATTCAATGCCTACTGGTTAATTTATCTAGCCACTGATCCAACTCAGAGAGACAAAGTGTTATCTGTTTTCCAACAAGCTTCAAATCATGGCCTCACTCTGGCAAGAACTTGGGGATTCAGTGATGGTGGTTACAGAGCCCTACAGTACTCTCCTGGCTTCTATAACAAGCTAACATTTCAGGTTAATATCAAATTTTTGATCTGAATGGGTTATTGATGTATATATATATATATATATGTATGTATATTTTAGGTTCATGGTGATGATGATATATGTGATGTATTTAGAGAATTTTAGTGTTGGTGATATGTAAATTCCAGAGAAATTTAAAACTCAGTGAAACTTAAGTGAATAAAATTGGTGTTTGTGTTTTTATTTGTTTGGTACCCTCAGTGAAATTTACTGAGACAACTCAGTAAAATTTCAAAAAAACAAACTCAGTGAAATTTTTCATTGCATTTTTCCTCCTCTGTATTTATCTTCTTAATGTATACAAAGTTGCCCATGATGTTAAACCAAAGAAATTTGCCTCAATCTCTGGCATCCCAATCACAGAAATTGGAATTTCTCTGGATTGGAGAGGAAGAATTTCTCTGGTTTGGGTTGGAAATGGAGAATTTCTCTAGGTTAAGTGAATTTCTTTGGATTGGAGATGAGAATTTCTCTGGTTTTCAGTGAATTTCTCTGAGTTAGAGGGAAATTTCTCTGGGTTGAAGTGAATTTCTCTGGAAAGTCCAGAGAAATGTGAGATTTTCTCTGTGCAGTCCAGAATTTCTCTGGGAAAATTTTCTCTGGACTGAAATTTCTATGAATCAATGTTGAGGGACCTTAGACATTATGAAAATATTAGATGTCCTTTATACTATAAAGTCTTAATACCAGGGACCCTAAAAAAAAATCCCATAATTTTATATATTAATATTATTTATAGTATTACTAATCTAGTAGTATACAAATAAATATTTTTTTATCTTATATCTCCAATCTTAATACCACCATACTAATAATCTCCTCACTCAATTCTACTGTACTCCTAATTCCCTTCATTTTATGTAGCTAAACAAACATGACCTTAATTCCTATTAAATCCTATTTTTCAAAAACACTTTTCAGAAAATTCTACTTTTTTATTTTCCGTATTTTTTTGTTTTTACTGAATTTTTTCAATATTTTGAGCAATTTTTTTAATTTTTAGACATACCTAACATAAATATACCTAAAAAGTAAAAAAAAAATTTGAAACAAACCTTTTAAAAATTCACTAAATACCAAAAATACAAAAAAAATACGAGAATTCAGTACATTTTTTGTATTTTTATATATTTATTAATTTTTAAAAATATTTTTTCACAAATTTTTTACTTTTTAGATACATCTAAATAAGGTGCATCTAAAAAAGTAAAAAAAATGTTTAAAATTTTAAAAATATTCACCACAAACAAAAAAGTACGAAAACCAAAAAACTCTCAGTTTTCAAAAAACTTAATTCAAAAAACTCAAACCAAACACACTGAGCCTCCGTTTGGGAAGTGGGTTATCTTTTTGGCTTTTTGGCTTTTTTTTGACTATATGAGTCTGGGCTCAAAAGCTTAGTTTGGGAAGGACTTTTGGCTTTTTGGCTTTTTTTATTTTTTTGTGAGAGAAGAGTGTAATGATTATGGGGTTGAATGAGATATTTTGTCTGTTATGGCTCATGAGCCTATTCTGTCTTTTATGGCTCATTGAGCCAAAAAAGCCCAATGAGCCCTTGCCAAATACAATCATCTCTAAAAGTAATTTTTTAGTATTTTATTTATAAAAAAAATAAAATTGTTCTAAGGTCCAAAATAAAAAGAGAAATTTTATTTATTACCTATTTTTTCACATTTTATTTCACCTCCTATGTTATTTATGTAAAAAAGGTCACGTTTACTGGGCTTGCCTTAATTTAAAAAACATATATATTAAAATTTATCATGTCATATAAAAAACTATTTAGAACATTTTTTATTCAACTTCAACACTCATATGTCACAAAAAAATTTAATTCTCTCAAATCAAATATTGCTTCCAAGCAACGTTCTCCAAAGTTCCTTTAGATCTTCCAAAGGCATTGTTTAGGGCATTAGAAGAGCATTTCGATCTGCCTTTGCAAACGAAGCTGAAAAACTCTTCGAAGAAGCCCTTCCATGGCTATGTCGGCCAATATCCGATGGTGCCGCTCTATGAAAGCATGGGCATCGATCATGTACCCAACCCTGATATAGTCCAAGGATTCACTCATCTCTTGTGGCCTGAAGGAAATCTTAATTTCAGTTATACAATCATAAAAATTTTAAAAATTAAAAAGATTATCTAAATTTAAATAACATTTATTTTTTTATATTGAAGCAAAATTTATTTAGAAAATATATTTTCTCCTATAAATTTGATTATTTTATGAGAAAATAGAAATTTTAATTATAAGTGATTATTTTAGGGGATTTTTTTTAAGCTCTATCAAATTCCCAGATTTTTGGAAAGAAATTTTTTGAGAAATCTAAAATTTCTCTAGAGAGAATTTCTTTAGAGAGTGGGAAGTTTATAAAAATTCCTAGAATTTCTTTAGAGAAGTCTAGAGAAATTTTCTCGCTCGAATTTTTTCTGGATTGATGTTTTGGAACTTTAGATATTATGAAAATATTAAATGTCCTTTATACTATAAAATCTTAATATCAGGGACCCTAAAGAAAATTCTCAGGAAAAATTGGTTGAACATCCCTCTCCAATTTTTAGTAATGTGAGAAGTCCAGAATATTTTTTTTTTGTAACCTAAGGTCCCTCACCTATTTATGAGTATGTATCTCATCCACACCCATATATCACACCCACTCTCTTATTCTTTCTCCTCCACTCCATCGTCGCCTCCTCTGTGCCATCGTCGATCAACATGGCCAAAGAAGATCCCCTAGTTCCAAATCTCCCAAATCAACATGGCTGAAGCAGATCTACTTGTATGGTAAAGAAATACAATCGAAGAAGAGAGATGGGAAGGAGATCATATTGAGTCCATCAAAGGAGCTTCTTTGTAAGAGAGTGATGTTGGTGTTTGAATAGGTTGGTTGTTGAACCTATCTCTCAGATCCTCTCTCTTTCTTTGTTCAGTTTTTTTGCTCATGTCTGTTTTATCTTTTTGTCTTTGCTCAGCTAAGAGAACGTCAAGAATCTTGAGCTTATGAAACTTTGGATTGAGGTTCACAAGAATTGAGAGATTGTCTTGGGTTTTGGCATTGAGAGAGACAAAGAAGAAACTAATTGGTGGTTGATTTATATTCATCAAAGTTGAAATCTTTGCTTATTGAGAAAAGAGAATTTGGGAAAGATGAGGAATGAAGTTGAAAGAGAAGAGAAAACTGTCACTTAACATTGTAATTTTCTTTGGCATGCTTAATTTTCTCTGTCATGTGTAATTTTTTCTAGAATACTTAATTTTCTCTAGTTTGAACCCAGAGAAATTCTTGCGAAAATCAGAGAAATTTTCTAGAAGCAATCCAGAGAAATTTTGTAAATGGTTTTCTGAAATTAAAGTTCAATTATGAAAATTTGAGCAGTTTAGATGATGCCCTTTTTCCCTCTGTTTGGTTGTTGAGAGAACTTAGGAAATAAGTAGGAAAAGAAGAATTCAATTTTAATGTTGATTGATAATGTTGTCAATCAAAATTCAATATAATTAAGCAACCAGTTGAATTGGGCAACATGATGGTGAGATATCTGAAATTCAAAATTTTGTTATCGATCTGAATGGTGGCTCTATTTTTTTATTTTCTATGTGTTGAAATCGCTTTGTGTTGGCTTTTTGATCAATTTTTTCTGGTTGTGTCAAAATACAATTTTTTTTGGTTTGATCAAAACACAGAGAAAATTATGAGCAAACCAGAGAATTTGGAAAAGATGAGGAATAGAGTTGGAAGAAAAAAGAGAATTGCCACTTAACACCCTTGTGTGTGTAATCTTTTTTGGCATACTTAATTTTCTCTGGTTTGAACCCAGAAAAATTCTCATGAAAACCAGAGAAATTCTCTGGAATCCTGAGAAAATCTCTAGACTGCAATCCAGAGAAATTCTCTGGCCTTTCCAGAATTTTTACAAAGAATTTCTCCGGATTGAATTCTCTAGAAAGTCTAGAGAAATTCTCTAGATCAAATTTTCTCTAGATCGATGTTGAGAGACCTTAGACATTATGAAAATATTAGATGTCCTTTATACTATAAAATCTTAATGTTAGGAATTCTAAAAAAAAATCCTTATTTATTTTTTATTTTGGCCATATATATTTTAAACACATTCATCAACAAACTCTCTATCTTTTTACTATGCTATTTAAACATTATTTTTATTAATTTTAATTTTAAATTATTTTTTTATAAACTCTACGCAACTAATTCTAAAATATGAAAAGTAATATTTTTTAATGTCTAACTAGCCCAAACCTAAAATTAAAATAGCTAATGGAGTTGAAATTTAATAATTTATTCACTATTTTAACTAAAAAGTAAAAATAACTAACTTGATGGAGTTAATCTTAAGGGTGTTTTGGAAAGTGCCAAATAAGTTGACTATTTTGTTTCTTTTTTTTGTTTTATTGGTAAAATAAAAATTTCATTACAAACATGAAAATAAAGGTACAAGAAAAAAAATACACTGAGAGAGATTCAGAAAGTATAAACTTTCCTACTACTGCAAGTCGTAACCTTATAACCAACCCCTCGGTCTCACAATTTTTTTTAATAAGAGAACAAAACAAAAGACATGTTTATTATAAAAAGACGTACAAAAAATAAAAAGGTAATATAACACAAATAAGTTAAAAAATCAAGAAATTGACTTATAAGCTAGGAAAAAAGGTTCTGATAAACTATTTCGGTGATATATAATAGTCCTCAAATAAAAATAATTACTGTTCATGGTTTCCAATAATGGTCCTCACATACTTCAATTTCATCCAGATCGTTTGCATATGTTTATTAAAACTTGTTATAAAGTAAAATTCTTCATTCATACAAGTACATGTTATTTACACCATAAAATATTAAAAAAAAAGAAGTTATTGCCCTTGAATGGCAAACCTACTCACTGAATGGGTTTTTCTAGTGATAGGTGAATTCATCAGCTCAGTACAAAATAATGATCTGTATTCAACAGAGTTTTAAAGCTGGGTGATATGAGATTTAATGCATGGCAGCATATAGTGCAACTGAATTAATTAACTTTTATTATTAGATGTTCTGGCTTATTTAAATTACAGTAAAGATAGGTGCATAGAAATATATCAAAAAAGATAATGTATGATTGAGATTAAACTTTTATGTAGTGAAACACATATTTTAAATAAATCTAAACTATACATAAAATGCTTTATGTATTTTTCTTAATATGAGTTCTGTATCTATAACATTGCTCTTTAAAATGTCATATTTTTACATTGGTTTACAAATCTCTTAATAAGATAATTTATTCCATATTTATAAAACATAGTCAAGACGATACCCAGATAGATTGTGATTGGTAGAGATTGTGACAAATCTTGTAATTAAAGTTTCATTCTTTAAAAACAAAGTTAAATAACATTATTCTCGACCTAAAAACTGATCTCCAAAACCTTACCTCGGCCAAGCCGCGGGTCATGTAACCATGCTAACACCATTGCACAAGAACACTTCTTCGCTACTAAAAAGAGAGTCAAAGAGAATTGTTATATATCTCTAAATAAATTTAATTAATGTTTTTCCAGTTTATATGCGGATTCTATTTTTAGGCATAGTGTTATTGTGTAAATTAATATAAAGGAAACGTAAAATTCAACTGGTAACAAATATTATTTTCTAAAATAAAACATGAAAACAAAAAGAGAATTCGGTGCCTTTTTTCGTTTTGGTTAGCTGTGCCAGCATATTGTGCAACACTCCTATGGTGGAGGCTTTGTGCTGAGGCAAGCTCATCGTTTGATTGTGTAATAGTCTTATGGGTTTGGTGGCGCCATAAATCTGTAATTTTTATTATTATTTGTTATTTATATAATTGTAGGACATGAAACACCTTCCTACTTATTTGAAAGTTATGAGAGGTTATGAAATGTGAAAAGATGACGGAGAACAAAGTGGAGAACATGGAGCATGAAGTAGAGGTTGAAGGGACTTATGGAAGATCATGGAGTATGAAATGAAGGAAGTGGAAGAGTGAGTAGTTTTAGATAGTTTTTTCTTACAAATGTTTGCCTATAAATAGCCATTCATGGCTATATTGTAAGGGACTATCCAGAACTCAAATCAAAGACAATTGATTTCTATTTTTCTTGTCATTTATATTTCCTACATTTTATTTTACGCACTTCCTTTTCGAAGTATTTATTTTTAGCACTTCATTTTCGAAGCATTTTATGCACTTCTATTTCAAAGTATAGGAGTAGAGATAAGTAATTGTTACTTTGATTGTTCACTTAATCACCCCAATTGTTCACTCAATCATCTTTCTTCGTCTCCCTCCTTCTTCTGTTAATTTTTCTTTTCTCTACACTTGACAATTTTGAAATCCTCTTTATTGAGGCAAAAGAACCGTCAATGCAATTGCTTGATAATTAACTTGAATTTAATCTGTAAAGATTTTTCAATCCTTACTGACACGCTCGTATTTATAATATTTTCCTTCGTAGGAAAAATAAGCCAACAGTGTTTGTCTCATATTACTTGTATATTTAATCTGTGTATTACTTGTGAATTCTTTAAGGCCTATGTTGGCCCATGGATTGGGCCAAGCTCAGAATGTGTTTTAACCTATATTGCGTACCTCGTGCATATTTTCATGCAGTTTATCAAAACGTAGATGAAATCATTGATTAATAGTCTATATTTGAAATTTATAAATAGGGATGGCAATTTGAACTCGGCCCGACAGGGACTCGACCCCCCGATCCCGATTAGAACGGGTTTTTCTCGAAAATCATCCCTCATAGGGCCAGGGATGATATTCAAAATTAAATCCCCGATGACTTTCGGGCTGGGGACGGTGATAGACTCCCCAACCCCGACCTCGGCCCCGGCCCAGTCTCGCCCTGAACAGCCCCCGAACAATTATTATTATATATCTTTATTATATATATGCCTCAAGTTGCTTTACATATTTTGAACAGCTTGTACTTATCTTTTTGAAAAACTTGTACCTATCTTGCTTATCTTTATTATATTACATAGTTTGTATCCATCTTATCTATCTTTATTATATTATATATCTCAAGCTCTCAACTATCTCTCTCACTCTCTGAATCTCTCATCTCAACTCTCTCACTTTCTCGTTCTTCCTTCTCAACTAGCTCACTCTCTCTCAGCTCTCTCGTTCTTCTCTTTCTCTCTCTCTCAACTCTCTCACTCTCACAATCTCACTTTCACAGTCACTGACACGGCGGCACCACCACCACCGCTGGTCCCGACCCTCCCTCTCTCTCTTCTCCTCACATCGGTTTCTCTTTCTCTCTCTCCACTTCGTCTCTCTCTATTCTTTATGGCCACTGCCACCACCACAGCCGCAGAAGATGGTCCGTCTCTCTCTCACCACCACCGAACCCACCACCACAACCATCGTCGATGGAGGAGTACTCAGATCTGTTATCTCTCTCTCTCTCTCTATGATCTAATCTTGTTGGTATTGTTGTTGAAAACATATTTTTTTTTCAAATTAAATATTTTTTTTAATTTAAATCTGTTGATGATGATGAAACATACTGATATATCATATATATTGATTTGTTGTTCTTAAACAAAATTCACAAAAAAAAAAAAAAAACTCGGGGATTTTTTCGGGGTCGGGGAAACCCGATTCCCGTTAGGGGACGGGGACAGGGACAGGAGGGTGATGGGTTCCCCCGCCGGGGATTGGAGATGGGGACGAGGACGGGGATTTTTTAACCTTCGGGGATCGGAGACGGGGAGTGTAGTCCCCGGCCCCGCCCCAGCCCGTTGCCATTCTTATTTATAAATGGGTGACTTTAATATGGGTGCCTTTTCAAATGAGTAGGTCATTTTATATGGGTTGCATCTTTTGAAAAGACACCTCCATGTCTATAAAACTCTTGCAGGCCAAATATTGTTTTCTTAACAAAATCTCTCTCTCTCTCTCTCTCTCTCTCTCTCTCATGTTAATTCTAAAGAAATAATAAGAATTTTGTGAAAGTCCTTCAACGTTACTAGTTTATTTTTATTTATTTATTAGGAGCTTTATTAATAAAAGGGAAGTACAAAGAACATCACAAACATCAATAAAGCAGGCAAGAGAAGAAAGTATCATAGCTAAACTAGACGATTCCAACTAGGTTGGCACTGAGAAGAAACTTTAATCATATGCTAGCTCCAACCTAGGATGGTAAGGAACCAACCAAGACAAACCAAACAAAATAAAAGAAAGGAAAAAAGAAAGCAACCAAGCTCCCGAAAGCAAGTAGAAAACATTCTCAAAGGCAGAACCTCAAAGGCAAACCCTCACATGATTGAGATTGAATAATAAGTCAGTCACTGAGTAATGAAAGTCTTTTATTGAGGCTTTGATCCATAATGCAAGCCTAAGCTTTATT